CATTTCTTTGCTTCATTCTATCTCTATTCTCCCACTCTGCACAATCTGTTAGTTCAATCTCTAACGTTCTGCTCTCTTTGCTTTTGCTCATAGTAGCTTCATCTGGTCTGTTCCTGTTTGGCTGTGACTCCATCCTGGAGAGAAACATCAGCTGTGCTGCTGCCACCTTTGTTTATAGATGTTGGAGATCTGCCTGTTTTTCCAGTGTAGTCCTGTTTCTCTGACTGTGACTGGCTGGATGTGCTCTCTTCATCCTCTGACATGGGAATTGGCCTGGAGCTCGTCTGCCTGGCTGTATGTTTCTTGGACAGGGCCGCCTTTTACAGTTGCCTTTTATATCCCTGCTTCTGTCTCCTTGAACCCCAGTCGGCCTCTGAGCCTGGTTCTGCTGGAGGTTTCTTCCTGTTAAAAGGAAGTTTTTCCTCTCCACTATCGCTACAAGCATGCTTAGTGTGATTTTCTGATTTTCCTTAGATAGAAAACTTTGAATCAAGTATGATCTGTTTGAACTGTAAAGTGCCTTGAGATGACATGTGTTGTGAATTGGCGCTATATAAATAAACTGAACTGAATTGAACTTTGGACCGCTGTGGTAAATCTAGAAAGTCTTTAGCTACTTGAACATCATTGATGGGAACCAATATGTTGCTGTTTGTCAAACTGGAACAACAGAGCTCTGAAAAAGTACAATAGACATAAGTTACATCAGTGTACTGAAAGGCTGAAGCTTTCATCATAAAAACAAAAACATAAATGTTTGCATGTGTGACACAGAATACAAGTGATGAAATTAAGTATTTGTTGTTAAACTGCCTGAACTGGGTTGTGCCTTTACGTTCTGTCACGCGAAGGATTGTAAGAATCCATATTGCTCCTAAACACCAGATCGTATGGAAGTCCCGTCGCTAAAGGAACTATAAATAGGAACCATCCAACTTCCTTTCCCCCTTCTTCCTTTCTGCGGGCACTATTTGGAAGGCACTAATCATGGCGACCTCTGATGCACATCCGTTTTGACTCAAGTCCTTTCCTTTTTATCTAACTGAGTCACTGATCATAACCATAGCATCAAATGCTGTGGGTGGAGCTTAAGAGGTGAGTAGGAGCAGAAAAAACCCACTCTGCTTAAAATGTTGTCATGAGGAACAAAATTCCAGGAAACTCGATAAAAGGACACCCAAAGTATTAGAAGATTAAAAGGCTATTCTGCCAAACATTATGCATTTTATAATACATGCATTACTGAGATATTCATAAAAATTGAAATACTTTATCTTAACCTAATCTCAAAAAGATAATTTTAGTTTAATCAAAGTTTAGACTTAAAAGAACAAATAAAAAGGTGCTGGCACTAAAATCTATTTTGGTTCTATTGGGTCTCTGGGGCTCGTAGTGGAGTGGCAGCTGATCTAAAGCCAGGGCATTTAGCAGAAATCCCAGGGGATTAATGGTTTGTCATCGCTGACAGTCTGTGTCTTGTTAAACCTAATGCCTCGTGATGGATCTGTCTACAGCGGTTTGGGGGGAAAACCTGAGTACCAAGAACTTCTGGGTTCTGGGTCTGAGAATTTTCTTCCTACAGGATCAAAAGTACAACTAGCTGATCACAAGCCTGTTTTTAACAGATATGCACTGTGGAGCCAAATGAAAAAAGATATTTCATCAAATGTTTGCAGGACAGGATATAATGGTGATCTAAGATATTTAACCCTTTCATTTCACTTTTGCGGATGATTTAAACACATGATTAAAGCAGAAACTCAAGTTCAGAAGAAGAACCCCTAGATTCCTGCAGCAGTTTAAAGCCACTCAGCCCACCCAAACATCTGGAACCAGGAGCTAACTTGGCTGGCCCAGAAAGAACTTTGAGGGACAATGATGCATGTTGAGTTTGGTCAGACGGTTGAAGACATGGTGTTCTGGCTGAATCAATGAGTAGTAGTGCCAAATGTGTGTCCTCACTGATGTTTTTTATGATTTAGTTTAAACGTGCAACAAGTACAGGTGCTGGTCATAAAATTAGAATATCATGAAAAAGTAGATTGATTTCAGTAATTCCATTTAAAAAGTGAAACTTGTATATTATAT